AGAGAGAGAGAGAGAGAGAGAGAGAGAGAGAGAGAGAGAGAGAGAGAGAGAGAGAGAGAGAGAGAGAGAGGTTACAGGCAGAGGTTACATCGGGCTACGAGGCCCAGGATCTGATTAGACATTTTGTGGCAGACATTGATTGGACATTCGGCAGGGAGATTATTTTTGGACTTCGCTATCATTGATTGGATATTCGGCAGGGAGATTATTTTTGGACTTCGCTATCACGATCTTGATCTTCTCCCTCACCTCCATCTTCGTCTCGCCTCTCCCCCATCTCCTCATCCGTGGTATCTCCCCATGTGCATGCTCAAGGAGGGACCTTTCTTCCATGTATGCGGTCCCTCCCCTCTCTCTCACATGTGTGGTGTATGATGGGGTGTCGCGTCAGTCTCTGACAGGTCAGGTCATATCTTTGAGTCTTCCGTTGCGCTACATTATGCTATTTTCATATGTGTCTGGATGTACATTGCTTGTTGATGCTTTGCTGACGCTGCATTGTCCATTCGAGTCCTTTTCATCACTTTGCGGATCCTTGGCTCCATATACTTCGCTCGATCGAGCATGTATAAGTTGGTATCGGAGCCGCACTCAGTGAATCAGGACGAAACCTGACCTGATGCGAGAATAGGGAATCGACCGATTGATTGATTGATTGATTGATTGATTGATTGATTGATTGATTGATTGATTGATTGATTGATCTATTGATCTATTGATTGATTGATTGATTGATTGATCGATTTGCGAGGATCAGGGTCCTAGGTAGGCCTATGGGGCCCTGTTTGCAGCATTACCCGCCCTAAGTGAAGGCGGGCCTGGGTTTTTGCAAGAGGCCCTCGACTGTCAATTTCATATTTGGGGTCCAGGCAGTTGCGACGCGCCAGTTGGTTGAAAGAAACACAGGCCGAGCAACAAAGACATTTCCACGGCGCTCCGGGCCTTTCTCAAAGAATGCAGGCCCTGGGCGTGATTCGCGACCTCATACAGAGACAGTTGGGCGCCCAACCGAACGAGGCCCAGCAGCCCAGTAGCTGCTCCACGCAGGCAGCCTCCTGGGGCCTTCCGGAAGCTTCTGGGCCCAGGCCAGCCCAGCCAGGCTGCGAGAGCTGGCCAGCTCTCTTCCATAAAGGAAAGAGCTCTGGCCAGGCAGCCTCATTCAGGCACTCGCATGCTAGGGGCAGCACTGCTGGAGCAAAGGCTCGCGGCTGCTGGCTGGCGCTGAGAGGCGAAGTGCAGCACGTGCAGTCGTGCAGAGGAGCAGGGCGCTGCTGAGGGCAGCGCCATAGCCCAGCCACCATAGCTGGTGGGCTTGGACTACAGTGAAGCGCAGGGGTGGTCTTCGGGTGAAAGAGAGGACAGGTGTGGGTGTAGTCAGGGGATAGGTGAAGGATGATGATGATGAT